AAAAACAATTGTATCTCTTTAGAAACTGAGTTCTGAGAGGTTTTTAGTCTGGCACCTATTTTTTGGTTGGGGAAAAAACAATATAAGTTGGGGAAAGTCTATTAAAGCATTTTGGAGAACAAAAACTGAGTGATTCTCTATTTTTTTTTTTTTAGTGATATGCGTAATACTTTTAGGATGGTTTGTAAACCCCATAAGGGAAAGCTGGTAAATTCAGCTGAGTATAAAGCTTACGTCCTGTTATGTTAATCAGTATCTGGCCTTTTAACACAACACCTAAATCAACTTTTTTAGCTGAAGTGTAGTTACAATTTAAAATTGTAATTAGTGTCTGACCTAGACCGTTCACTGTAACATCTGTTTTTACCTTTGTTAGCCCATTAGAGAATTAGAATTGGTGTGTAGCCATATGTTCATTTGTGTAGAAATAGAAGAATGTATAATTGTTTTGGTTTGAAAGGGCAGGCTGGGCTAGTTTTTAAACAGATGCCTTCCAGCTCAGAGCCGCACTAATGAGGAACAGTGCACTGCATGGAGAACTCTAAATAATTTATACGTGTACTTGGAAGTCTGAGCTCATCTTGCTTAATAAATTATGTGGGGATCAGATTTTCGTCTGGTGACTTGCATTGCAGTTTAACCATGAGCTGCTGGGTTCAAATCTTTGAATATATGCAAGTACATTGAACATGCAATACGATGTAGATGGAATGAAAGATTGTATCGCTTTGGGATAGCTGGGGGGAAGTAATGTCTAGTGTTCCTATAATTAACATAAGGAGCAAGTTCACAAAGAGTTTGCAACTTCTTGGGCTCAGCTGTGGCCTACAGCCTATTGCTATAGTACAGTTTTGTCAAAGTGCCAGTGTTCCTGTCCTGTGGGTGCTAATAAGTGAATGTGCCATTTGAGTAATAATGGCTTTACTTGTTGGCAGTCTTAGTGTAAACATTTTTTCCCTTGTTAATGGTACTATGCATTTCAGAGTTGTGTAGCTGAACATAAAGTGGAGCATTTTAACTAGAAGTAACAATGTCCTTTAAATTCAAATATTAGGCCTTTCAGTATAAATGCATTTTAAAAATCTATTTTGAAAATAGATTGATACATTTTAACCTACAGGAGATTGACATGCCATAATTTAGTTTCCAGCATTTTCCAGCAGTCTCGGGTCGATGTGCTGAAAGTATATCATACTGTATTCTAGTTATGAAGCAGATACTGTACTTTCCTAGGTGCATCTTGCTGAACTAGTATGTTTTAAGTATTTCATGTTTTATAATGCACAAAACAAATAAAAAAAAACCCACGATGTGCAAAAATAATGTACTGTTAAAGCTTTGCCATTACACAGCGTTTTTGAATATCCAGCAAGCCTTCCCTCCAATATGCAGTGGAATCAATGAGCTACTTAAGAGAATTAACCACAATGAGCATTGTTTTATTTTTCGTCACCCCTTAGCGCTCTGCAGTTTGGTTAACAGATTTGGTGGGGGAAATCTTTGAACTCCAGACAGTTTGTGTGTGCGTGATTGGTTTTTAACTGGGCCTGTCAGATCCCATTTATTAGAAAGCTGTCCCCACAACAGACATAAGAAAATTTAAATTATCCAAGTGGTTCGTCCTTCACTGGAGTTTGATTCACCAGCTCAGTCTCCTCCCCGCATCCCAAAGGCACACGGGCAGGCTAGCAAGTTGGGCGAGCTGTGTCTTTGGTCACGTGACCCAGAGGGTCAGCAGTTGTTTTCATGCTCAAGTGGTTACATCATAGTAACATGGCATACACCGAAAGAGACTTGTAACACTTCTTAGGTGTCCATCAGAGACGCAATGTCTCCTGCATTCTGGTATTCTCATCTATAGCATGGATGTTGGATATTCCTTTTTGGATCACTTTTTTGTGAGAATATTGATGAAGCTCAATAAGATGCTCCCTTAAGAGTTTTTTTTTTTTTTTTTAGAAGCATGGTTAAGTCCATACTAGTAGTTGTCAGGTTTTGGTAAAGTAACTCATTTATATTCGGATTTAGTTGTGATGTAACTAAAGTAGCTTTAAACCAATTTCTTAAGGCTGTACTTGATTTTATCACATTTGAAGTCAAAGATTGTAAAGCAGGATGCATCTACATAATTAAATGATTTTGACTAAAAAGTCTTGATACATAATCAGAATGTCCTCTTGTTGTAGCAGAGCCTCATAAAGATTCATTCCCTTTTCTAAGGAGAAGAAAATCATTTCCAGGCTGTGATGTGTACCCTATTCCATGTGTAAGCAACAATCCTCCAAATGCAATGCCGTGCTCAATCCTGTCTTCGAAGTTTTTTGCGATTGCATACATCTGTATTGCCAGTGAGAAGGCATCTGGATCTTTTTTAGATATATTGCGTGATCGTTTCGTTGTGAAATACATGCACTTTTCATTATGACATTGTGCTGGAAAGCAGAGAGCTTTAAGTAGAAATAGGCTTACTAGTTTTTTATAATCTATAAAGTACATTTTTAAAATTTTCAGCAAATTTCAGCTTTAGCTCAGTGATACAAAAGTTTGTTTCACATATTCATATTCTTTGCAGTCTTCTGTTAATTGTGTTAAGATCTGTCTGCAAACAGATCTTGAAGATCCTAATTTCATTTTGGTTCTTTTAATGGGATTTCTAAGTATAGTAAGTGAAGAAATCGGGTGATTTATATCAAATTCTGTTTCTATTAATTAAATGTTACAATTTTTAATTTAGTTTAAAATGTTACAATTTTTACCACGTCCAATTGCTGTACAAAATAATCGCAGTATAATGTTTTTCAAATGCTTTCTTTTTCCCTTTCCTGCTAGTTACATCATTTAGCGCATTATCTCAAGAATTCTGTTATGAAATTGTAAGTTATGAGTATTTGAACATGGCAATCCTGTTGTGCCATTAATGAAAGCAATAGTTGATTTAAAAACAAATGAATATTAGTTAGTGGTCTTGAAATGTATTTTAAAACCAAATTTCCAAATCCTGGACAAAAACCCTTGCTGGATTTTGTTGCAGCCAAGTTACGTGATGTAGTCCTTAACTGACTTTAAAATAGTATTATTAATTGGAACTTTTATTTTCAGCTCTTAAAAATGTATTTCATAAGTAAAGTAAAATCCAAACCTATGAGTAGAACATTTAGCAATTTCTTTAAATTAAAATGGTAAATTGAATTAATTTGGTAATTAATATTAGCTGGTTTAAAAACAAGTACTGTAATTGTGTGATCCTCCAGAAACCGTATTGAAAACTCTGATACTTAACACTGTAGGAACGTACAAAGTAGAGGAAACTGTTCAGCCCATCCTGCTTGTTCATTTGCTTATGGTTGTGATTTAAGAAACTATTGCAAAGAGCTGTTTTTGGAATAATTGCTAACATTTAGCTTCCAGTTCCTTGTTAGGTAGGTTGTTGTAAGGTTGTTTGCTGGAAACAACCTTACATAATGCTGGAAACTAAATTATGGTATGTCAATCTCCTGTAGGTTAAAATGTATCAATCTATCTTCAAAATATATTTTTAAAATGCATTTATACTGAAAGGCCTAATATTTGAATTTAAAGGACATTGTTACTTCAAGTTACAATGCTCCACTTTATGTTCAGCTACACAACTCTGAAATGCATAGTACCATTAACAAGGGAAAAATTGTTTACACTAAGACTGCCAACAAGTAAAGCCATTATTACTCAAATTAAAAAAAAGTTGCAATGAAATTCTCTGTTTGGACAAAACACACCAGTTTTGTCCAAACAGAGAATTTCATTGCAACTTTTTTTTAATTGAATCAATGAATTCCATGAGATACAGAAGTCTACTGACCCCAGACTGATACTAATAAATCTGCTTAACCTAGTTTATAAGCAGCATGATGTTCCCAAAATAATTCTCTCCTTTTCACTAGTTGTTTGTAAATGTTTCTTCTACAGTTGATGAATTATTGATGAAGTGATGTCTCAAGCAGAATGATTACCTTCTGTTGTCTGTGAAAACAGGATTTCCTTGAGAGATTGGTGTAGTAGTTCTGTGCCATCTATAAGTAATGCAGTGATACATGAATGGTGCCTCTGTCTGGCACAGTGATGGTTCTGCTGCAATTTGATATTTATGTGACGCTGTTATGTGTACATAGTACCACATGGCTACAGCTCAGGTAAAATGGTGAGAATCAGGACTTACAGATGTGCTCTTCAACACTTCAGGGCTGTTCACTTTTTGAGTTTAGTGATCAGAGTAAAGTGGCATGTCTCACTCATTGAATTTAGCAAAGGCACAAGAAATCACAGGTGCAAAAAACACAGCTATGATTAATACCCACATTTCCATAGTGGTGCTTGTGGAAAATCCTTATGCACTGCTGTTTGAGAATTGGAGTATCTATGACTTGACCAGGCATGAGCTGGCAACATTTGGACAACAGGAGTCCACCTGCACTCTGAGAAGGTTGGGAACCCACCAACAGAGTTTTTTCAACCACTCTTTTTAGTTCCATTTCTGTTATTCCCTTTAAGGACTTCCAAAGAAATCATTGTTGCCAGTGCTTTGGAATGCAATTATGCAGCACTCCGAGATAGTCATTCTTTTTACTTTCCCAAGCAGATGCATATCGGCAAGAGGTTTTTATGGCTGTATAAATCTGCAACAGATTTTTAAAATATATTTCATGGAACATCGCACGTGAGAATACTCTTTCCTGTTGAATTCAAGTTAAGCATAAAACATTCTCTAGAAATGAGAGACGAGGCAGCACTAAGCACGCAAGAATGCAAGGTCTGTAAAGTTTTGTCTCCAGCAAGAACAGAAAAATTAGTCCGATTAAAGTCTATTTTAATGAGGTGTAGCAAGCATTAAGATCATTGGAGAATCTTGGCAAATGAGATGTAGGTTAAAGGCATAACGATATGGGACCAACATGGCTTCAGCTGTCATTCTGCACATCGTGAATGTCCTGGTAGCACCTTGTAACCCGTCTTTTTGTCTCCAGCCAACAGCCGGCCGCTGGGGTAGCCTACACTCACCCGACCACAGTGGCCAGCTACACTGTGCACCAGGCGCCGGTTGCAGCCCACACTGTGACAGCGGCCTATGCCCCGGCGGCTGCCACTGTGGCCGTGGCCAGACCGGCCCCGGTGGCCGTGGCGGCTGCTGCCACAGCCGCCGCCTATGGCGGGTATCAGCCAGCGCACGCGGCCACGGACTACGGCTACGCACAGAGGCAGCAGGAAGCACCACCCCCTCCCCCTCCGGTCACCTCGCAGAACTACCAGGTAACTCCAGCCTTCTTGTGAAAATTGGGACTCGCCAGTTGCCGTTATACTAGCCGAGTTGTGGATAAATACAATAGATAGTCGTAACTTATATGGGGGTAAGGGGTTTTAAGTAGTGCGTAAAGCCAAATTCACAAATAGACAAACTTTAATCTATAACGTTTATAAAAAAACCAACCCTACTTGCCTCAAACGGTTCTTTAAGATAGAAGTATAAAAACAGTAAATAAGATGACTGTATAGGCTCACTAGCTCTTGTAGATGTGCTTGATGAATTCTTCAGAGAATGAAAAAAATGTTTTAATATTTTTATTTTCTGAAACCAATCTTGATAGTTAAGGACATGTAAGTTGCAAGTTGACCGTATGTGGCTGTCACTTTGGCTTTTGGCTTCTGGCTTCGAACTCTGTGACGGCACTCAGGGGAGAAGTGTGGTCCGACTCCTGTGACCTTTGAGCCCCTCGTATTTTCACGCATTGCAGACAAAAGCGCTGTATAGGAGGTTTTGCACCAGCTGGAGGAGACGATGTGTCTGACTCCTCCCTACCCTTGGCGATGCACACACAATTGTGTTCCTCCACTTTGGGAATCCTGGTCACAGTCAGCTAGTGATGTGAGCCAGGCTGGAACCTGAGCCGCCTTGATAATGGACTTCAACCAGAGCTCGTGCAAGCACCTTTAATGGTTGAGCAACTTGTGGAGACTTTCAGCATTACATTTTAATGCTTCTCTCGAATGTGTGCTGTGAATTCGAACACTATAGCGTAACAGCTATTAGCCTCATTAACTGATATCCATTCTTGCAGGATGCCAGAGTGTACATAAAGTAGTGAAAGATTACATATCTCGACCTGGTATTGGTTTGTATACAAATACAGCCTCCAACCTTTGAATGCGTCAAACAGTATACAGTCAGAGACTGTTTCTGTGGGGCTAGACAGAAGAAGGCGTAATGAACTTTATTAACATGGCCTGCATAATTTATAAATTTGCTAGACAATTTCTTGTTGAAGTGCAAGATATGAGAAAAATGTGAAGACAATTCTGTTACAATTAGAAAGTCCCTTTTTCTCCCATTGCATTCTGAAACATCTTGACACAAAGACATGCTTGTCTCAGTTGGCGTATACCCTAATGCAGTCAAGAGGAGATGAAACTTGGAAAGTTTAGTGCTTTATATAGCCTACATTTTCCTAATGCATTTTTTCCCCAATCAGTGATAAAATGTGGGATGTTTTGTTCTATGTGAATTACTGTCACATTCAGGCTGCTGGCGGGGGGGAGTTCTAAAAGGGGCAGTTGAGATGTAGTCCAAGTTTAACTGTAATCAGTCTGGCCCTGTAGTTTTAGATTAAGCCGAACTTTTTTGCTTCGTTTCTTGAGACCATAGTTTGATACGCATCAGGAAGGAGCTGGTGTAGCTTGTTAATGCTCCTGTAGTGCTTGCCCTGGTACCCTCTGGTCTAAATGCTCCTGTTCCCTGTGTTATTCCAGGATTCCTATTCCTATGTGCGATCCACAGCCCCAGCTGTCGCCTATGACAGTAAACAGTACTACCAGCAGCCTACAGCTACGGCGGCTGTGGCTGCAGCTGCTGCTCAGCCACAGCCCACTGTAGCTGATTCCTACTATCAGACAGGTACGCTTAACACATCCTGGGATTCGTCATGGAAGAAAAGTCTCCAAGGTCAATACATTTTTCTTTTTTTCCCTCAAAACTTGTGTAGATGTTTCCAATAAGTCCTGGATGTAATAATTCTATGCAATGCTTGTATTTAGATTTTTCTTAAAGCACTATTAAGCCACTTTTATTGTGACGTCCTTTTAGTTCTGCAGTATCAACAGAAAAGCATATTTCTGTATGATTGTTAATCATTTGATAATCGAGATGCATGTTTGCGATGAATAAAGTAGTAGGAAGAAATCATCTACATGGCTATACACAATTGTGATTATATTATATGCCAAGGTGAGCATCCCATGTATGTGAGATGTGCTAAAGGAAATTTCCTTATACATGCTTTTCTATTGCTGCTGTTTTAGGACTTATGTCATGATTTGTTTTCAGATTCCATACATCTTATCTGTTGGAAATGTTTTTTAGTATATAATTCACACCTATGTAACTTGTCTAACATGTGACTTGTGCACACTTTGTTTGGCAGCTTTGATTTTTAAATACAGGTTTAATCTCTAAATGGTTTGGTTGAATAAAGAAACTACTGATTTTCTGGCCATGCAAGTAAAACATAATGTCCAAGAAGAGGGGATTGATTTTTCAAGTTGGGGGAATAAATGTCTTTGTTTGCGGGTGGGTTGCTTGAACTTTAAAAGCTTTCTCAGTTGTTTCCAGTGCATATTGTTCCCATGACATCTTAATGCCAGCAAAATTATGTGGTTTCTTTATCATTTACTTATTTACTTGAATAAAATTGTTAAATATCAAAAGATCCCTTGAAGACCTTACATAAACATTGATTTCTGGGATAGCATGTGTTCTTAGAATTTTTTTTTCTATTGGATAAAGCTGTATACCAACTTAAAATTTTACTACTTTTTCTCTTTTAGCTCCCAAAACAGGGTATAGCCAAGGAGCAACACAATATACACAAACACAGCAGACAAGGCAGGTGACGGCAATAAAACCCGCTACCCCCAGCCCGGCCACCACCACCTTTTCAATCTACCCAGTATCCTCCACTGTCCAGCCGGTAGCCGCTGCGGCTGCCACTGTGGTGCCATCCTATTCCCAGAGCCCCACCTACAGCACGACTGCAGTCACGTACTCTGGTAAGTGCCAGTCTTGTTTGGTCACGTTTACTTCAGTCGGCTGTGGTTTGTGGAGCTGCCTAACGAGTTGCGTTTTTGGCAAAACAGTATTCGACTCGAAAGCTGTTTATCTTGTACTGCCATTTCCCAGATTAGCGTTTGAATGTCTCATGTATTGGGAACCGTTTGGATTTGTTACACTCAGCTGTCATGACGTCTTGTTTGTGATCATGTGTATTACACTTAAGCATAAACCGAAGGCGGCAGCATCTTGTCTATGCACATGAACAAAACTGCATTTGACTCGGATTGATCTGATTTTTTTCTTTCCTTGTATTTGTCTGGTTTTATCCTGCATTTTAATACATTTTATTTAGTGGGTTACCTATTCGGTTGCATTGTACTGCACTTTGAACCCGAGTTTTTATCTTCATCAGTGCTTAAGTGTTCACTGCTTGGTTTGTCCTTCCCAGGAACTACATACTCCGGCTATGAAGCAGCTGTGTATTCTGCCGCCTCTTCTTACTACCAGCAACAGCAGCAGCAGCAACAGAAACAGGCGGCAGCGGCGGTGGCAGCCACCGCCGCCTGGACAGGGAGCACGTTCACCAAGAAGACTCCATTCCAGAACAAGCAGCTCAAACCCAAGCAGCCGCCCAAACCTCCCCAGATACACTACTGTGATGTGTGCAAGATCAGTTGCGCCGGCCCTCAGGTATGCTTTTTAATTTTTTTCATTGGAATCATTGGCCTCTAGAGCTTCGGAAATTTTAAAAAGCTTTTCTTTGCACGAATTGGGAGAAAAAATAGTCAAGATTTAGTAACTCCACCCGATAGACATTTAGCATTTTTTTTTAAAAAAAAGCTTTTTCCTTAAGTTCCTAAAGTTTTTAGTAAGGGGATTGCAGGATGGATCAAAATCTTCACCCTAATCATTGATTTCAAATGAGATGACAATTCAAAAAATCTTAACACATTCATTCTGTAGAACTACGCATGCATACATGCATTCAAAAGTTGTTTTGTTTAATTGCATTTTATTACAGAATGTAATGACTGTAGGAAATGTAATACTGATCAAACTGTTTGCCTTTCTTTAAAATAACCAAAGGTCATAACCCAGTTTTGTTAAAATGTATTAAACAAAGTTGAAACATTACAAACCAGAACACAAAATGAAACTCTCTGTCAAATACTGTTCCTGTATTCATTAATGTGCTTTATAGAAATTTTGTACCTTAACTTTGACATGTTGGAAATTTTAAACCAAATGCTTTAGAAATTTCATTCCTGTATCTCTCCTGATTGAGATTTACATCTTACATTTTACGTTTATTCGTGTTTAATTTCCTGGAAGGAGAAGAAACTTCTGTTTTTAAAAATTAACTTGAACGTATAGGATACTTATTAACTTGATATTAGAGAATTATTTTTAATTAAGCACAAAGTTTAAAATCCATTTTTTTTCCTGCTCAAGAAGGTTTGAAAAATATGCAAACTTTTTGTTTTTGAATTGGCGATGTAAATTCTAGGGGTCAATATAGCTTCTGCATATATGTTAAGATTTGTTATCCTAAATCTTGTTATTGGAATGAAAAAGATAAGTGTTGGCATTTTCTATTTTTCTTTCACTTTTGTGAAAACTATGTTATAGTAAACTGAGTTTCTGGTGGCTGTCGGTGATGTTTTCAAGCTTCGTTTTTTGAGACCATAGTTCGATACGCATCAGGAAGGAGCTGGTGTAGCTTGTTAATTTGTACAAACTTGTGTTTGCACCTAAACAATGTTGCACAGATGAAATTGCCTAGCTCAGTTGCTAGCAGCTGCTTTGTCCACAGCTGAGCAACTGTTTTTTTTTGCATGTGGGTGGTATTTGATAGCAGAATTGTAAATTGTTACAGAAGATGAGAAATGAAAATTCACTTATTGCCTGAAGTATGTATATACCATAGCAGTATATACAGTGCTTTCAAAATTATTCAGATGCTTCCTGTGGTGATCTTTACATTTTTGTCAAAATTATACAATGAAGCATGCCATGGTTTTTTTATAATTGTCAGCAAAAACTAAAGAGAAAAATGAGGGATGGTGAGTTCATGGGTCTAAATACTTCATATTTAGTGGAAGCACCTTTGGTGGCAGATATATCCGTGAAGTCTTTTTGGGTCAATTTCCAGTACCTTAGTCCATTTGCTGTACGTTCCCATTAACCTTGACAAGATTATCAGAACTAGAACTAACTGTTGCCACTCTCATGACTGTAGTTAAGGATGGTGTTGACTGAGAACTATGTAGGGTTTGTATTTTTGTATTAAGACCAGTAATTTCCAGTTTTGTCTAGTTTGACCACAAACTTCTGCAGCATGTTTGCATTATCACTTAGCGCTGTGTTGCAAACCCCATGTAGGATTTGAGATTTTTTTTCAGTTGCATGGAAGCCCCCTTTGTAGAGTGACCAGGATATTATTGCCCTATGGCCATTTCCTCCTGTTTCAGCTCTTAAAGTCTTTCAAAATCCACTAGACTTATGCTGGGATCCCTAATCACTTTCCTCCTAGTGGCTTTCTTTGGAGGGAAAACCTGATTTAGTTAGTGTCTGGGTGTGCCTTTCACTTATTAATGATCGACTTGATGCTCAAAGAGAGATTTAAGGGTCTTGGAAATGTTTTTATGTCCCATTATTCTGCTGATCTGTGCCTTTATATACAGCTTTATCCCTGAGCTGTTTTGAAAGTCCCCTGGTCTTCACGATTCTGTGATGAAACACCTTTTTATGTATTTATTCTACAATAGTTTACACAAGCGAAAGGGCAGTGAAATAATGGTGTGGCTAATAGAGGTAATTGTGCATCCAATTTAGTTTTGCCACAGCAAAGGGTTTAAATTGACTGACTATGAAATCCCAAGGAAGTTTTGAAAGAAACTGGGGATAAAGTGGTAGAGACACAGGTTATAGTGGAATATGTATCATCCTATCAGGACACTAACTAGATCAGGCTACTGGGCAAACAGCAGATTCAGAAGGAAACGGTAACTTTTATAGAGTTGAGTTGAATTCTGGTGCATGCAGTTGATGGAGGGGGGGAGGAAACAGCTGGGTAAATGAGTAACACGTATATTGCAAGCAACTGCTTCTACACAGTTGTGGCTAATGTGTTAGGCTAATAACATCTCATTATGCAAAGGGTCATGTATAAAGTATTGGATAGGTCTGGTTGCCTATAATTATGGCTGCAAGAGGAAACCCCAGTGGCTTTGAAAGAGGGCTGTTTGTTGGAGCATGTTTAGCAGTAACCAACACAGTTCAACTTCCTGACATTTAATGAACAGCATTCTCTAAGGTGATGTCAGTATGGAATTTGGAGGGAAAAACATCCTTGGCAAAGGGCAACGGTAGGCAGATGTCCATACTCCAGAATTGTGATACCTGCGCTTTACACATACAGGCCAAATCGGTGACTCGAACAGTGAATTACCTAAATTGATTTACATTGACATTTCTATATTTTATTGTCCACTGCGTGAACATTAACAACATTCTGGTCCCTACTCAAAGAGTTAGTATGGTTGTGCGGCAAAAAAACAAGCTTCTGCTGCATAAAAAGTTTAAATATCATCAATGACATGGACTGGCATACTGCCTGTGGTGTATACCGCCTTGTGTCCATTGCTCGCTGGGATAGGCTCTGGCTCCCCTGAAACCCTATACTGGATAAGAGGATTAATGGATGGGTTTTTTGTCAATACAAGCTACTGTTATTGGAAAGTCTTTCCTCTTTGGGCTCCCCCACGACCCCGAATTGGATGAAGCAGTTAGGGGATGAATGAGATATGCTGCATTCATTTGGGAAAAGATTTTATGGAGAGAAGTGAAATTTGTATGATCAGAATTTTGTCTAAATGCTCAAGTGCAATGAAATGCTTATTTGCACATATCCTCCCTTATAAAAACATTAAGGAAACGCCCAAAAAAACAAACACAGGACAGCAGCAACAACAAGTTAAATAACATACAACTTAAAAAAGAACATCAGTGTGAGCCAGTGGTAGGGTTAGAGTTCAGTAAGCTTGTGGGAAGAAACTGTTTCTGAATCTGGAAGTTTGTCTTTATGCTCCTATAATGCTTACCAGAGGGAAGGGGGGAGAAAAATTAGAAACCAGGACGATTGGTGTCCTTAGTGATACTTCTAGCCTTCATGAGACAGTGAGTTGTAAAAAATGTCCTAAATAGAGGGGAGCTGTACTCCAATGATGGTCTGAGCTGACCTGATCACCCCATGTAACACCTTCCGGTCAGACAACAAGACACTGCCAAACCACACTGTAATCCCAGACGTGAGGACACTCTCAATAGCGCACTTGTAAAATGTAATACGGACAGTTGAAGATAGACCACATTTTTTCAGCTCTCTGAGGAAGTAAAGGCGCTGTTGTGCCTTCTCTGTAGCTCCAGTTACATGCTGGGACCTCATTAGTGATGTAGGTACCCAGGAACATGAAGCTGCTAACCATCATTACAGCCACCCCATTGATGTGGATGGGGGCGTGATCCCACCCTGCTTTCTAAAATCGATGACCAGCTATTTGGTTTTGCCGACATTGAAGGAGAGACATTGAGGTTTTTTTACAAATGAATTGGGAAATTTTGAGGAAATGGGCAACATTCTTGCAGCACATGACATTCTAAAACACCTGCAGTGTTTTGTTGCACACCTGTTGCCTTTTCAGCGACGCGTGACCTAAGGATTTATGTGGTTTCCTGTAAAGACGATATTGAGATTTTGTCTCTCCGTACCATAACATTTGGGCCCGTAGACTCTGTTTTCAGGCTTCATAATGGAGCCCTTTGTCTCTCTGGTTTTCAGACTTACAAAGAGCACCTGGAGGGCCAGAAGCACAAGAAGAAGGAAGCAGCTCTGAAAGTGTCCCAGAGCAGCAGTAGCAGCAGTGGTAGTGGCAGTGGCAGCTCTGCCCGGGGCACACAGAACCAGCTGCGCTGCGAGCTCTGTGATGTCTCCTGCACTGGCGCGGACGCATACGCAGCCCACATACGGGGAGCCAAGCACCAGAAGGTAGCTAGGTTGTGACCAGGCCTAAAAGAAACCAAATTTTAAGAGCCACACTTTACACAGTATCTGCAGTCAGATAAGTTGTATGATGTCATTATTATGCCGTGAGACTCCATTAGCTTTCCTTTCCAAGGTTTTTGTCTGTCAACCACTGGACAAACTTTGAAAGCAATACTGTCCTGATGTGCATGTCTAAGGATTATATTGCTTACTTGGTCTCGGTCCAATCTCTGTCTCTTTTAATAGCTTTGAGTCTCTGAATAAAATTATCATCTCTTTCTCATACATTTCTGTGGAATTTTGGAAGTATCTTGTATTTGTGCATCTCCTCTTTTTAGATTTAGATGTGTATTTTTATATATTGTGATTTCTCTTGCACTATTGTGTCATCAGGAGTATAGGGTTCCTGTGCTTTGTAATGAACATCTTAAGATCAAGAAAGAGCTCTAATAATCTATTCTGCTTAACGGTAATGTGATGTCTAAAGCTTTTTGGTGAGCAGTGCTTAACTATGATTTGCTAAAGGAATAAGTAAGCCTAACATTTGACACTGTTTTTTTTTAATTCCATACAGGTGGTTAAGTTACACACCAAACTTGGGAAACCCATTCCGTCAACTGAGCCTAGTGTGGTGACCCAGACTACCACATCGACCACAGCGGCTTCCAGCAAGGCTACCAGTTCGGCCGTCAGCACTGGGATTGGCAGCGGTGGCGCTGCTGGCAGCAACAGCAGCACCACTACTGCCTCGGCGCCCGCTTCCACTTCCTCGTCCTACCTGAAGCCGGTCAACATCGTGAGCAGTCCCACAGCGAGCAGTGGAGTTAACAAGGGCAGTGCATTAACCACTGCTACAGCTAGTGCAGCTGTCAATGTCAAGAAGGCTGCAACCCCCAAGATTAATTTTGTTGGTAAGCCTCCAGTTAATGATGGTTACTGATGACTCTTATGTGCATTTCATGAGGGAGTGTCCATGTGGTCTTCATCTTCAAGTGTTTATGAAATAGTTACCTCACGAGATAATGTTTTACTCCAGAAACAAGTGTCTGACCTATCACACATTTATTATTCTATGTATGCTCAAAAACTAAAATCTTGAAACATTTCAGTGCATGTGCGTGTACATAGCTGTGAATGGGTACTAAAAGCTGTTTGGGCACATGCTGCATGTGAGAAAAATAAGTGGCTTAAAAGGTGGCCCATACTATAGTTTAAAACAATATAGGATTTTGTCAGGTAAGAGAGCAAGCATACTTTGACTTACTTATCGCCTTGGGCGGAGCACTTAACGTGAAGGTAAGTTACATGGAAAAAGTTTCACACTTCTGGCTCCAGTACATTAAAGAATGTAACATCCTCTTAATTCCTTGAGTAAAACTACAACTGCATTTGATAAAGCCTAGTTGGGAATCTGTTGACATCTGTTAATACACATTAAAATGACATCTTATTTTTCATCATAAAAATTCCTGCCTTGAACATTTTTAGTCAAAGTTGATTTGAGCACAACATCTTAAAAGGTTTTGCTCCGTGGATTTGTACTTTTGTTAAAGGAGGAGTAAGTCTATTGCATTTTACTCTCAAATTAAGTTAAGGTACTTGCCTGGAGCTCAGGTGGAGCCCTGTGATCTAATGTCAGAAGTTCAGGACTGGTTTGTCTCGAGCCAGCTGTGTTAGGATTCTCCCAAGCAGCTGTACACAGTTCACAGAATGTTACCAAAGATAGGACTGAGAACAGTTGGCCAGGGTTCTCTTGGCTGTAACTACAAAAGGGGCGCCTACAACTTCCTAGGCACTTACAGGCTTGTAGAGAAATAAATCAATAACTGAGGTGCCAGTCTACCAGTTAGAGCTCATTCCTCTTGGGCTTTAGAGCTTCCAGCATGTCACATGCGTAACAGATTTGCACATGTGTGTATGTCAAAGGAACGTGCCTGCATGTCTCATTCTTTCCTATGTGGTACAGGAATCAGTGCTAGAGAGCCAAGTCTTTAAACAGTTAGCTCTTCCAAACTGAGTATATTTTTCTTAAGGGGGCGAAGGTTAGTCTTCACTTTTTTTTTTGGTTACCTTTATTCTTTTTTCTGAAAGTTCTCATTTTAATCAAGCTAAACTGCCTTTTCTGGAATTTCCATAGTAGATATCCCTAAACCAGCTTGTCATTACCACTGTGTGATCCAATCACATTGAAGTCAAGTGGTCTTTTAAGTACCACTGAAAACTTAACTAAGGTGGTGAAGGATAGAATTTTATATTTTGTATAACATAACTTTAACAAGAGGACTGTTAACCTGTAGCCTACAAAAAAGTGCTTACAGTATATCCACCATATACTGTATGTTTGAAAACATGTTTTTGTGATATTTGATAAATAAAATGCAGACAGCTGATGGGGACTAATTTATGAGAAGCTCTGTATCGCTTGTTGAAAACAGAAGCAAGCTGTGGACTGTTATAAATAAACTGTTATTTATAAAACTGTTATAAAGAACTTTCTGCAACGGACAGGGGGGAGAAGGTTTGCTCCTAACTGTAGGATGAGGTAATCTGTCATTTAAGCCTGCAGGAGGAAGTGTCGACTAAGATAGTGGTTTTTGTGTTTTTTGCAGCGATTGTTTGTTTCAGGCTTTAAAAAAAGACCTGTCGGAAAAATTGGTAGAACTCTCTTGCTCTCACACTGCTGCTCTGCCATGACTTCAGTACTGAAATAAAGCCCAAAGGCCTGATGACTGCTTCACCTCTAGCCTGGACTCGATTTTCTTTTTCTGTCTCCTGGAGAGGGTTGACCTCACCTGTCTGCCTTCAGTAGCCTTCCATGTTGTGAAATGAATAAAGGGTTGCCTCTTTTTTTCCCCTGTATTAACCTGTCCTGCTAGGCTTTGTGCTTGATAAGAAGTTTTGTGTTCTGTCCAGTGAAAAATCACTGACTTGTCATTCTTATTACAGAATATTATGCTTGTACATTTAAAGTATGATTTCTTTAACAGAATTTATGTGAAAATGCAGATCAATAAATGACATGCTTATAATAGCATCAGACCTTGTTAAAGGAAATGGAATGCATCCAGTACGGCTTTGGAAATTTATAATGGCGAGTATTGAGGTTTTAAAGATGAAACTGTGTTCCCCCATAATGCAGGAGGAAACAAGTTGCAGACTACGGGCACGAAAGTGGAGGATGTGAAAAACGACACAGCCAAGCCTACACAGCCACCAATGGCTCCCCAGCCACAGGAGACCAAAGTTGAAGTGACTCCTGAGCCGCTTTCCACACAAGCAACTCTTGCTGCTTTACAAAGTGACGTTCAGCCTGTTGGTCATGATTACGTGGAAGAGGTACAATGATGCTTTGTTTAGGTTCAGATGGTATTTTTTTAATTTCTTAAGCCAAAATTGTAACCTTTTTCCCTTTTCTAAGTGCTAAATTTATATTGGTTTGAGAGGATGGGGCAGTACAGTGGTTAGTATTGCTGCCTCACAGTGCTGGGGCCCTGGATTCAATTCCTGGGGTGCTGGAGTCTTTCCCCCTTGTTTGTGTGGGTTCCTTGTGGTTGCTCTAGTTCCACCCTCAGTCTAAAGACATGCTGATAAGTTAATTGGCTTTTGAGAAAACTAGCCATGCTGTGAGTGTGCGCCTGTGATGGACTAATCGATGTCTGATCCAGGGTATATCTCGCCTTGCGCCGGTTGCTTGCCAGGATAGGTTCTGGCTCCCTAGCGACTATATACTGGATAAGCAGATTAATGGATTGATAGTTGAAATAAAATACAAGCTGCTGTTCCCTTTCTTCATTTCAGGTTCGTAATGATGAGGGAAAAGTTATTAGGTTCCACTGCAAGCTTTGTGAATGCAGCTTCAATGATCCCAATGCTAAGGAGATGCACTTAAAGGGAAGGAGACATCGATTACAGTATAAGGTTAGTAGATCTATTTAAAACTTTCATTAATTGCTCACTTAAAATCAAAGTTAACCAAATGCAATCTTAGTACTTACACACTTGAGTGCAGCTACAGTTCTCTATTTCCTTTTGTGAATTCTATAGAGTTATAGAGTTGGCTTGCATTTCAGTGGGATCTGGCCCTGCGTTGGAAGGGAAGACATTCTATCCCCCTTCCTTTGTTTAGTTTGTTTGAAACTGTAGACAACGTTATTGCTCACCTGCAAAATCAGCATTGCGTGAATATTTTTATTGAATGATTTTTTTTTAAATTAGAAAAAAGTCAACCCTGATCTCCAAGTGGAAGTGAAACCCAGTATCCGGGCCCGGAAGATCCAAGAGGAGAAGATGCGCAAACAGATGCAGAAGGAGGAGTACTGGCGGAGGCGTGAGGAGGAGGAGCGCTGGAGGATGGAAATGAGGTAAAATATGCAAGTTTGATTCTATCCAAGGAAAGTTTTCTTTTTTTCCCTGAGAAGGTGGATTAATATAGAAAAATTAATGTCAAATGAAGGTGTCCAGAATAGCACCACACTGCTCCAAAACCTTCATTATCATCTGAGATGTTCATTCCTAATGTCGCTTGCTTGTAGCATGGAGTAATGTCATTTTAGCTGCATTCATCGTATTTTTTTAGTTGGATTTTTATAGAAGAGTATTTGTATTAATATAAAAATTAGACTTGAGCAGGAGTTTGGAAGTGTAAGTCTTGCAGGTAATAAGTCTCAGAATAAGTGTTCCTGTGATCCAGCAGAGAAATGGATGAGGGCCTGTAAATGAAACATAGAATTAAATAACCATGATGCCAAGTGTTTACAAAGCCAGTTGTGTAAAGGGTTTTGACAAAGCAGACGTGTCCTGGTTGCAGGCGCTATGAGGAGGACATGTATTGGCGTCGGATGGAAGAGGAACAGCATCACTGGGATGACCGGCGCAGGATGCCAGATGGCGGTTATCCACAGGGACCTCCTGGCCCGCCGGGCCTGTTGGGAGTCAGACCTGGCCTGCCCATTCCACAGCCCCAGGGACCAGTGGTAGGCTTTCCACGTTCTGTCTGCCCAAGGCTGTTTTAGAAGATGAATAAAGTGTGGAAATTGTCAATGGCAGATATTCCATCTTGTGCACTAGAAATGAGTTGGCTAAAGCTGTAAACTGGAGTTTAAACTTTTATTCAGTGGCTTTTCCTCTGCTTTTTTGCTAATGCCATGAGTGAACCTGTGTTTTGGCTCAATGTTTGAGAAAACTAGGCTTATTTAGATCTACTTCTTTCAAATCGGGAAATATGAAAGTACTATTAAAGGCACCTGACTGCTACAGTGTTTGCACTAATGAACTCGACAAATTATCAAATACAGTTTTGCCCTCTGCATATATTTCAATTGCATTAATATGGTTACAAGGTCCCTTAAACTGTGGTGATAATTATTATTAAAGTGGCGTTTTGAAGGTTCCAGGCGTCTTAAGGTGCTGCGAGCTAGTACCATTGTGATGGCTATAGTGTAGTTCTTTTCCTGTTCTGCAAGCTTATGGCATTTTGTATGTCATGTCCTATTACTTGTGTTCTTTTAGCCCCCTCGTCGCCCAGATTCCTCAGATGACCGATATGTGATGACCAAGCATGCAGCCATTTACCCTGTGGAGGAAGAACTCCAGGCTATTCAGAAAATAGTGTCCATAACAGAGCGAGCACTGAAATTGGTGTCGGACATCATTACTGAACAGGACAAGAACAAGACCAAAGACGAGGACAAAAAGGAGATTCAGAGGGACAGGTAAAGATGCCCTTTACTAAGTGGGGTAGATTGTGTAAATAATGTAAAATGGGTTCATTTACTTACTGTTGACCGCTAGTGTTTGAATCATTTTAAACTTTTGTGATGTATTTTTCTAATTTATTTCTGCTGCCACCTACTGTTCACTGATTTTAATATTTACACTTTGGCATTTTCATGCATGCTTTTTACATGTTACTTACTGAAAAGCATAAGTATAGGGGCACTGCACAGCAAAAATGACATTTCACTTCACTGTCCCAAGACTTAAACTTACTCAATATGTATTTCCTTGTAAAAGAGCAGTTAAATGTATAAAATTGATCTGAATATTTAAGGGGAACAATGGTAATGTTTAATTATTTCCTTTCTAGAAAATTCAAATGTATGCTTTGGTCAAGTCTCCGGTATAAATACGATCACCCTTCAAATCCATTTCTAACTAGATTGTGTGGTTATGTTGCCATGGATTCATAAACTGGATGAATTTAAACTGTAATTAGCATTTATTTAGAGTCATCAAATTTTGGGAGGAAATCAAGCTTCTCCTAAATAACCAATTTTTGTTGCACTTGGAAATGTGAAATGAAATGTTTCACCCAGTTGACTGTGATTTGTATTATTTGCAAAAAATAAAAAACATTTATGATTTGCAGTTAAATTAATTTCTGATGGATTATTAATGATCCAGATTATTAATATCCTGTAAAATCTTTTTTTATGTTTTTGCACTGAATCATTGAACTCTAATTTTCATAAGTATTATGCTAAATCATTTCAGCGTTTTCTGGTCTGTTTCTGCTGTATAGGAAAATCATGGTCTTGCATTCTTGGGAATGTTAAGGAAAAACCTAGCCTTCTGTGTAGCAAATGGTAATAAAGGAAAAGATGATAATCTAAGGAAAACGGCCTAAATATGACATATCACACTTGTGATTTGGTAACAATGTATTTGATTCCTGCAGGGCTCTGAAGGGAGTCATGCGTGTTGGAGTACTGGCAAAAGGTCTGCTCTTGAGGGGAGACAAGAACGTCAACCTTGTCCTCCTGTGCTCCGATAAACCCAACAGGAACCTCCTGACTCGCATTGTGGAAAACCTCCCAAAACAGCTCACGGTGTGTCTTTTTTTTTGCAATCACTGATTGCATTTTTGTTTGTACTTTGTCATTTCTAAATGCCATCGACTGCCTTCATTCATGTTTCTGCAATAGTGGAACAAAGTTTCAGCTTGACATGGACGTTTTTGTAGCAATGCGGCCTTCAGTGCCTTTATTTAAAGTATGACCCTATTGACCTCACCCTAAGGCAAAGAGTTGTTTCTGCAAAGAGAAATTTTCATTTCTTAACAACTCCACTGCCGGAGTGAAGCTTGCTGCTGTTCTTGAGGTCAATTTGCATATCAAAGAATATAAATTAAATGGGTTTGATTCACAGCTAATGCAGGGAGTTGCTTACTCTCTCCTGGAATTTGGATTAAAATGTCATGGAAATTTTGGCGTTCCTGTTTTGAAAAGAACTCCTAATTTTGACTAATTTGTGTTTGGAACACATGGAGAGATAGTGTGACAGAATAAAGTGTTTACATATGTGCAAAAACTTTCCACTCAGAATTATCTTTAGTATCCTTGATCTAAAGTCAGTGACCATTCACTGCAGACATGGTGCTGTTAGTGCTGTGGGCATTTGTTCTTTTTGTCAGACATGGATGCATGGGGACATATCTGCAAAAGCTGAAAGTCTTGTACTAAACTGCAAAGCAATAAAATAGTGCAACAGTCAACTGCATGTGCTTCAGAGGCACCTGTAATGCATTTTATTTCATTTTAATACCATTTATTTTGTATAGTATTTATAGGATTTTTTGGATTATGTACATACAACACTGCACTGCATACTTTCCATTTTCTTAAAACAATTAGCCTTAATACTGGATTAAATTACTGTTGTAATAAGGATTTTGATTACTTGTAGTCATGATACAAGTGTTAAACTCTCCTGTTTAAATTTAAGGATGAGATTTAAATATGTTGTCTTGTAAAATGATTCCATGTATTATTGAAGTAGTAGTGTAGGCTTGTAATGCTGTGTCAGAGACAAAGATGTTGGTTAATGACAGGCTCTACATACAGAATTTGTCAAAATGTTAATCAACTGAGATGTTTTATTATCAATTATAATTAATATAGTTTATAATATAAAAAAACTCATTCTAACCTTTTCTTGCTTCTTCTCTGGGGGAAAAAAAGCTGGTTACACCTGAGAAGTATGAAGTCAAGGGCTCTATCCAAGAGGCCGCCATCATCCTCACTTCCTGCACTGAGCCCAAAATGCAGGTGACCATCACGCTGACATCTCCTGTCATCCGAGAGGAGAACGCACGTGATGGAGGTTGGGAAAAAATGGACATTTATTTACTATTGCTCTGTGAAATTAACTTCTTTTAAATATACACTTTTTTTTTATCCTTAAGAGCCCATTTGCTGGCACAGTATAGGCAGTAATTGGAAACTTTAGCATACAGTAGGTGCTTCTTGCAATGTAGCTTTTCTGTTTTAAGCTAACAATTTTTTAAAATTCTAGATGCTGACCAGTTTCTGAAAATGCCTAAGCTTAATTTAAGCAGTCTCCATCGATTTATGTAATAGTGTTTGATGCCTTCAAAATCTGTGAATTCTAAATTCTGTGACTTCCCTCCCTGCAGCAGTCTGAGCTGCTATTTTTTTTAAAGCCAAGCTTTGTCATAGTTCATTTAACATTTTCCACACTGGTGCATATTCAGATGGCTAACCATTGCCTTGCATGTAAATTCTTGTAGTTTTAATATCCATACCCTGTACATGCATTTTAACCAGTTATTTGTGGACACAAAGCATGATCCATGGTAATTGTTTTGAAGGCTACGTTAAGTTTCTCTCTGTAATCAAATATTTGAAAAGGTTTTGCATCAAATTGATTTTTTTGGTGCTTTTTCGCACAGAGTAGTACTCTTTTCCTCTGAAATCTTTACACGAGTTGAGAGCTTTCATTTTCAGTTACCATACTAACATCCAAGTTATTTTGTGAAAATCCATATCACATGCTTTTTAAATTTATTTGCGGCATTTCTTTTAGGAATAATGTTCTAATTTCTGGATATTTACTGTTCATGTGCCAGCAGAGAAGCTCTTGGCTATTCTCTGTAACACTTTCCAGTGCTCTTAAAGCTTTCAAAAAAAATCCAACAAGCATGATCAGTGTTTGCATTGTGTAATTATAGATAGGTCCCAGGTAAGATTCATTTTTGTTTCCTGTGTTTTAGTGAAATTGCCTATGGTTAAACTGGAATATACTTTTTTTTCCAGTAATAGGTCATGATTCCAGGGAAAAAAGGAGACACCACATGCTAACAAAGCCTATAGATATTGCTTTACTGAAAGTTGTTAAATGAAAACGGTCCCTTGATTTGCACTGCAAGGCACAGAAGGAAAAATGAATCCGTCAATTAATAAATGACTTCTCCACAGGAAACAAAATATTTGTCTGGTGGAACGGTCACCATTCTGAGGGTCCCCTGTGTAGAGATGAAAGTGCTCCCCTGAGTGAATGAATCACTGTGCTCTGGATTTTAAAAGATTGGTCTAATTTTAAAATTTTACATCTCGGGGGTGTCGGACCTTTTTTCGATGCCCTGCAAAAGCTTTGTATGAGAGAAGAGCACATGCTTCTTGATCATTTTCCCCCCTCCTTAAAACTGAGGTAAAAATGATGCGGAAAGGTGAAAGAAATGGCAATCCTGAATCTTTGGGGTGCAGGTTCACGGATCTAAGGTGGCCTTGTGCCTGTTGAAAATCCTTAGGGGAGTATCTGTAAACTTGAGGGAGGAAGGCTTTGTGAGAGGAATCTGTGGTTGGACCTGGGTTAAAGAGATTGGTACGGAATGTTTCTGGGGTCTAAAAACCAACTGATAAGAGGTATGCATGCAGTGACGTCCTAACCCTTGCTGGGAGCTTGCCCTTCTTTCCAGCAAGACTACTGTGTTTATGTATTCATAGCTTTTGAGTCCAGTCCAAAGCCTTTCTTACATCTGCAAGAACACGTTTCCTACAGCTGTCACAGCTTCGGAAGGATTTTTGACCAAGGTTTTCCCCAAAACACTTTGCCACACCTACCATGTAGTACTAAGAAGGATGTCACACAGTGCTTAAGAGTTAACAGTGCTTCTTGATTGCCATTTTGTTTTTGTTTTGTTTTTTTCTCCTCTTTCTGTTAGCGTGCAGTTTTCTGGGGTCTTTGCTCCATGCAAACTGGTTTTATCCTTCCATTTTGCATTGAGGTGGAATACAATCTAGGACTGTTTTTTACACCAACAATCTTATTCCAAAATGTATTTAATATTAAATATAAAGAGTGATAATCTCTTTAAATGACCTAGGTTTAGTGGTAAAACAGACTAGTAGACATTCTTAATTGAGGTGAGCCATGTAAGTTTTCATGTATGATATGTTTCTGGGTCAACATCAATTCTCAGTTTCATTAAGCTGCAGTTGTAACATGAAGCATCTTCTTTTAACATTGAAATAGATTTGAAATTTCTCCAGTTGTGACATTTCAAAGCCCATTTTCAGTGTTATGTTCAGACAATGCAGGACATCTTTTACAGCTTGATTAAAGCCTGTGGGGGCATTCTAGTAAAATGAATTAACATGGAATCCAGTCAAAACATTTTTATCCTCTCAGGGTCTTTTTTCCTTCAGCACTGATTTTTTTTAAAAGCCATACCTGTTCTCTCTAAAATCTCACAGTTGAATCTTTAAGAGGTTACTCCAAATGTGTAATGTGAAGAATACACCGCGAAGTTAAATTATAGGATTTTGTATGTTACCACTTCCTTGCTTTTCTTGACTAAACATTTTCCCATACCAGAGATGTTTTGCTGTCAAGAGCTTCAGGTCTTTCTTAATTCTGAGATTTGCCATTCATGTGCAAGAACTGAGGCAGGAGGGGTTAAATTTGATAAATGCTACATGAATTAATGCTAATTATACATCATCCAACTTTCCTCTTAAAGACTTAGTGGTTCTTGTAGTGTTTGTGACGAAAAAGGGATTCAACAGTCTCTCCTTCAAATAACCTTCGGTTACTTCCCATTTCTCAGATTTGGAATGCCATTATGTGATATAGTATTGCATGAAAAGGTTCAGAAGTGATAGGCTAGAAGGAAAGATTTGGAGAGTTGTCGTGCTTTTTACTTCTGGGAACGTGAAGGCTAAACATTCCTTTTTTATCACTGGGCAACCAGGAGAGCAGTTACTTGGTATGTGTGGCAATGTGTTTGTGTTGCGAAAGGTGTCTTGCTCACCTGGTCAAACACCCGTTCCTCACCAGCCTTTGACAATCCGATCCATTTTTAGATGTAACTTCGGGTATGGTGAAAGACCCAGCGGACGTCTTGGACAGGCAAAAATGCCTTGACGCTCTGGCTGCTCTACGCCACGCTAAGTGGTTCCAGGTTCGGAACATCATTTTACTTTCTTATTGTAGCCTTATGAGATGCATTTTTTTTTTATTTTAGCTGTACAAATGTAACAAAAAAAAAATCATTTGGTTTTAAATGGGAAAACAATATAATTTTACATGAAAGAAAAAAACATCCAAGGATGCCTAAAGTAATCTATTTAGGACCAGAAAAAAAGATCTTAAGTTACCAGTGTCATTTACTTATTTTTGTAGTCCCCTTGTTTTTTTTCATATGTAAACCTGTCTATGGTCATCTAAAAAAAAGTAAGGCATCCTTGTATTGGTTTAAGATTTTGTATTTCACATTTATCTACTGTATTTTATTAGTTTAAAACCATTATTCCATAAGGCTGCAGAGTAATCTGGCATAAAAGTATGTCATCTATAGGAGCTTTCATGTTGAGCTTTTGTATTTTTTTCTGATTATAGAATAGGGATTGAGAGAAAAGGAAAATCTGATTAGTTTACTGTGACATGGCTTTATAGCAATGCACAGGAAAACTAAAACAGATTTCCTGGACTTTTTTCAGTCCCTATGCTTTTCTTCTGAGCTTTTTATTTAATTAAGATTACTGTTTGTGAAATATATAGAACCATGGAGGTCAGGGTTTACAAGATGACTGGGGCTCGTTTCTTGGGCGTCCTGCAAACTTTGATCTCTGTTACTAACTATGAGGTAAAATACTGCTGTGAATGGCAGCTGATCAGAATAAACTAAAGCCATGAGAGTTGAAATTTTTACAAGCTTCCATTGTGAACAGTAGTGTTGCACCTCCCTTAAAAATCCACCATATTTATAACGGGCTGGTTTAATGTGACTAAATGTGAATTTATTACACTCAAGGCTAGAGCGAATGGACTCCAATCCTGTGTGATTATTATTCGCATTCTGCGTGATCTCTGTCAGCGAGTTCCAACTTGGTCTGCATTCCCCAGTTGGGTGAGTATTCAGTGTGCTCTTTATACACCTGTTTATATCAGTTCGGGGACTGTGCTGCCAACAAGTGCTGCAGTTCAAGTTGCTTTTTCTGCTCAAGTCACATTGAACACTTGTGTATGTTTTGAGCTTTTATTTAGTTATCGATTTATAATTTCCTGAAACAAGAGAAACTTTAAGAACTGTGGTTTTGTGGCTGAGGAAAAAAGTTGCAGGCAATATTTATTTGCACAATTTTTGTGCATATCTCAAATGCTAAGTCAGAATGTCTACCATGAGCGGAGATGTGGCTCTTTGGCTAAGGATCTGTGCCTGTGGCTGGAAGGTTGCCGGTTCAAAACCAGCAGCAGACAGAGGAATTCTACTCTGTTGGGCCCCTGAGCAAGGCCCTTAACCCCAACTGCTCCAGGGGTGTTGTACAATGGCTGCCCCTGCGCTCTAACCCCAAGCTTCTCTCCCTCTCTGTCTCATGGGGAGCAAGCTGGGGTATGCAAAAAGATGAATTCCTAATGCAAGAAATTGTTATATGGCTAATAAAGTGATCTTATCTTATTTGAAGCTATTGTAGCTTTATCTGCAACATGCTATAAGCCTTCCATATGATAAGGTCTAGGGAAACGCAGAAAATTTTCAATTGTAGGTGAACATTCTTAAACTTTAAAGGTTGGATCATTGGTTTGAATACTTTTTCCACATGCTGACTTATTGATAAAGACGGAATTGCCATTCAGCTGGAGAAAGATGGCTATAATTAAGAAGCACACGATTCAATTTACTGTCACAGTGCTCTGTTGGTCTAGAACAAAGTAGGAAATTGTGAAAATCTGACTGCCAAATATATCTGATGTTAATTAACAGACGAGTGGAAATGAGGTTTCCATTTCAGCCACAGGTTGAGAATTGTATTTCCTTGGTTGGAAGAACGTGGAAAACATTTAGAAAGTGCCAGAAGAAGAATTGCCAGTTTTGCAAAACAGCATTTGAATGATCTTGAGTTCTGGGCAAAGGTTTTGTAGAGCTAAATATTGAAGTAGAGTCCAGTGGTTTTCCTGTGATTGAGATATAATAGCCTCCATTTGAAAAAAGTAAATGTGCAGTTTAGAATGTATTGTATGCTTAACTGTGGTCTGTCCCACAGTTGTGAAAACATGCAATTCATAAATTCAGAAACTCCATACTTCAATGTAGTGCTATATAATTTATACAGTATAATAAAGTACATTTGTAGTGTAATGTTTAATATTGAAATCTATAAAGTGTCTTGAAAAGACAGTCAAGTGAAAATGTCTATTGCATTGTCAGAGTAGCACTTTACATTACCTCTATTACAATACTGAAGAAGTCAGTGTTGCAATACCTGAAACTCAGATTGGCTGATCAATCTTGACGTTTACCTGTCCACTGATGTCAATGACTTTGGGAGAACTAACTTGCCTTTCCCTTTAATTAGTAGATACCATCTTGGTCCTCGATTTGGTCATAATCTAGAATCTAGGCCTCATACTATCATGTTCAGTCTTACATCCATAGAAGTAACCAGTGTTTTGCTTGATACACCTCTTTTCCCCATCTTTACAGATTTGGTGTTAAAGCCTGAAAAGTAACATTTGTTAAATTTTACTTTTCCTCTTGGCAGTGGGAAGTTGAATGTAGTGCATTAATACGTTTCCTCCTTTCTTCAGATTAAAAAAATAAACTTGAGATTGGTTTCACTTAAGGAGTAGTTTTACTTTAGAATGAGACTTAAGTCAAAGTACTTAAATAGGAAAGTATTCCAGAATGTAAGTTATAAAATAATCCCTAGTTGTCCAAATAAATGTTTACAGCACAATCTGGTAGTGCTTTACCACCTAGTTTAATGAGTTCAATACCATTTCTGCTTTAACAAAAACCATGACTATTATGAATAGGTCAATATAAAAAAAGATTAATTTGGTTAAGGTAAAGGATGGGGGACGTCATTATCCCTAGAAACATTAACATTGTCCATTTTTGCAAAACTTTATTGGTGGATTGCATATGCCTAATATTTTTTCAGTAGTGAATCTTAAATGTTTATAGAGATTAGGCCTAAATGTTACAGTATTTGAGTCACAAGAGTAGATTACATCAAGACCAATTTTTCTCGGATAAACACATTTAAACAGTCTTCATTTCATTGTGGTTAATAAGTGGAAATTATTGGTTGAGAACTGCATTAGGATGAGCTACTATTTGTAACAAAGGGACTTCAGAAGGGAACAGTCACATGTTGACAGATGTTTCACTTACATAAAATTTGATTGCAAAGTTCCTGCTAAGAGAACTGAGTTGGGAAGACGATAACGTGCTGCTCTGTTGGAACTGAGTTGCTTTGAAGAAACAGAACTAATATCAGAATCTAACATTCTTTTTTATAGGCTATGGAGCTGCTAGTGGAAAAGGCTATAAGCAGTGCTTCTGGGCCCCTAAGTCCTGGGGATGCTTTGAGAAGGGTTTTTGAATGTATTTCTTCTGGAATTCTCCTATCAGGTAGGTTCAAACTTGCAAATTGATGCCAAAAGTAGTGTAGGTCAGGAGTAATGAAATAAGACCTTCCACTTAATTGTATTATAGAAGTGGACCCAAGCAGCCCTTTGATCACAATTCAGTTCTTAACTGGTGCAGAAGCTGGGCAAGATGAGAACAAAATTAAGAATGCAGTATGTGTATCTCAAGTGTAATAGAAACTTTTTTGTGGAGATTATTGTGGCAAATGAGTACATTTTATCAGTTTTAGTAGTGGCATGGTTCAATTTGAATTTCAGTACATATACTCGTCTGAGGATATTTAACGTATTCATCTGATTTAGACATGTTTGTTCTTCCCGGTGGAATGTTTGTCACTGAGGACCACAGTGAAACCCCATGTTTTACGATGCATAATTAGTGGTTGAAATTCAACATTTTTAATTTAGAAAAAAAACAATAGTTTATTAGTTTTAATTGCAGGACTTGTGGCATATGATGTTTATCTTAGAAAAATGGGAGAAGACCCGCATCTTATTAGTCCAGTGTTTTTGTGCAGGTGGTCCCGGGTTAATAGACCCCTGTGAGAAGAACCCGACTGATACTCTATCTGCAATGACTGAACAACAGCGTGAAGACATCACTTCTAGTGCTCAGGTATGGGCAAGATCAAAATTTTGTTACAAAGATTTGGTGAACCGCCATACTGTAATTTTGTGATCTTATTTTGAATACCTTAATTTTGACGTGCTGACCATTATCTTTATTTTATCGTTGGCTTTTTAAAAAAAATTATTCTGGTGGTAGTTTGTGGAGTACACCATTTTTTTTAATGAAGCGTCAACAAGTGAGGAAAATGTAACTCTTTCATTGCTGCAGCTGTAAACATTAAATAACTTTTCTTGTATAGACGGTCTCCCTTTACTTTACGATAATGTAGTAGGATGAAGGCTGGCCTCATTGTACATTGAGGTGCTTGTACAAACACTGACTAGAGTGCCAGGTGTAAAATTGACCAAGAAGAATTGGGAAACAGATGCACTATTAGAAGTTAAGGTTTTCTCATAGTTCTTTGGTTTGAGATTGCAAGCTTGCAGTTTCAGGCTCTCTCTCTCAAGATTCATGATCAGATTGGAATTTTTTACTCTTGCCATGCAAGCTGGGGAGGTGACTGGTGTGAATCCAGTGACCTAAAGTGAGTATATGAATCGGAAGAATGTGAATCTCTTATTTTTAATGTGGATCTCTAATTTATATTATGGTTAATTATCTGTTATTTAAATGGTCCTGTATAAGTTATAGTGGAAAGGATCTTAATAATGGTCTTCAGTTTAAGTGAGACTCTTTTGTTCACTCTCAAAGGTTTGTGGGGTTCAGCTACTACCAATTGAAAGTCACAACACAGCTGCGAATCCCCATTTTAATTGTCGTGCAAGACCACTGTTTAATGACATGCATTGTTTTAATTGTGGCTGCTGTTTTAATGCAGTTACAGTTAATGGCATTGATATTTGCAGATTTTTCACATCAAGTGAAAAGTAAATATACGGAAACAGACAATCTTGTACCACGTCACAACGTTTAGTGTTAATACTGAATTACACACAAACTAGTTAAAGGGTTGGCTATAGTCTGTAGCCAATGTAAAGTGCAGAACTGTCATTGCAGAAGTATTCACTCTAATGTTTTGTGAAACACTTATGTGAAGGATGTTAAATGTCTGCAAAACCTCCAAAGATGTGCAATTTTCCCTTCATATAAGTATTCATCCCACTAAGTCCGTTCTTGGTGAAAGCATCTTTGGCAGAACTTATTGCTGTCACTATTTTCATTAGTTTTCTAATGAAAATACCAGTTTCTACCAGCTTTTCTCAAATGTTTTTTTGTCTTTCTGGCAAAGTGTGCTTTAGTTCTGGCAAGTTCATTTTGGTACTTAATAGACTGCAGTCAAGCATCACTGTAACTTTTAAATTGGAGTCAAGTCAGTCATTCAGTGACCGAGTCCTTCACTTTATTCGTCAGTTTACTTCAGTGTGGCTTTGGCCTTCATGTGTTCTTTGTACCACCTGTTTTTCCCCCTCTGTCTTGACTAGATTCATAGTTCCTGCTCATTAAAAGGAGTCTGATAACATGATGCCGCCACCACCTTGCTTGACCACTGTAATGATGCTAACTGGATAATGTGCTGTTAGGCAGCTTCTTCAACATTGCGTTTAGGCAAAATGTTTAAGTTTTGTTGTGTAGATGACAATAAAACATTCTGCCATGTTCAAATTTCTGATGATTGGCATCACTGTAAAGAGATTAGTGACTACCCCCTGATCTGTTTCTTTCAACCACTTTGTCCTTGTCTTGTCTGAAAGCTCCTTTGTCTTCATGGTCAATTTGTCATTTCACTGTGCAACTTGTGACTGTACATTGTTTGTAAGGGAATGTACAGAAACTGACGCATGAAGTCAAGTTAAATTATTTTGATTACACATGGAAATGGTTGTTTTTGGCCATGATTGTTAAAGTGAACTTTTAACCCCCCTGGAAACAGATGCACTTTTAAGTGAAAAGTGCCAGGGTAAAGCAACAGTAGGGATGATATAATCTGCATCTTAGGGCATGTGATGGCCAAGGAGTGTCCGTTTTGATGTTGGTTGTAACTATTTTTTTCTTTACACAATGCTTTAAAATGATTGTAAGTGCATCATTATTGGAGGTATTTCCAATAACCCAAGAGCAACCTTGTATATCAAGCATAGATAAATGTCTCCTTCTCTGGAGCACTGTTTTAAGAGTTGTGTGTGTTCTTAAGTTGAGGTTGAGTTACAAGACAAGACAAATCTTTCATACACACCTGTTCTTCTTTTTATGAGTGTTCTTTTTATGAAACTTTGATCATGCGAAGCATGTGAATTGTTACCCACATTTTGAAGCTGTCTTCTTTAGAATATTATAATTTGGTGTAATTCAGATAATTTCAAAACCTTCGCCAACTGTAGAAAGTGAAGAAGGTGTCATACGATGCATTTCTTATTGAGTGTTCGCATCACATTGTACTAACTAGTATGGATGAGTTCTGAATGAACTAACTCGGTTAGTTGGTTCCAGTTTTTGGGATCACAGTTTATTTTCTTTTCTTCCTCTGTCTTTAGTTTGCTTTGAGGCTGCTGGCTTTCCGTCAGATTCACAAAGTCTTGGGAATGGACCCCTTGCCCCAGATGAACCCCCGGTTCAACGTACGGAACAACCGCAAGAGACGGAGAGACAACAGCGACGGTGTGGACGGCTTCGAAGGAGAAGGCAAAAAAGACAAAAAGGATTATGACAACTATTAGGGATTGCAATGACCCTACTTACTGACAACACACTAAAATATTGTGTTTTACATTATTTGTTTTTCTTAATATATTTTTGTGATATCTGTAGTCTAGTAACAGGCCTGACCTCAGTTCTGGTCCAGTAATCATTGAAAGTACATGTCAGACAGCAGCTAAATTGAGTTACAAAAGGGTGTATCTGTGCTGTACTGTATTGTTTAGCTTCAGTGTTGACTTGAAGAGTTCTTCAGGTCTAGACTTATGTTAGCTAAGCAGTTTTCACCTTGCACTTACATGTAGATTTTCTTGTAAACAGCAACTCTGCTATAACCCCCTTTACTCTGTTGAATATGCTTTTTATTTTGATATGCCCCTTACAAGTATTTCTCAAGGTTTAATACAGAACAGTAAGTGAACTGGTATACTGTTAAAACTCACAAGAATTTAACCAGAACTAACCATAGATGCTACAATCATTTTTTTTTATCCAGCAGGGTTAGGGGGTCAGCTTTAGTCTGTAGCCAATGTAAAGCACACAACTGATCATACACAATTTATTGTTTCCAAAAGTGTAATTTTAAAGATTGATTTTCTTTAATTCCACAATGCAAAAGGTGTGAAGCTAAAGGTCTTGTTTTACAGTTAAACAGGAAAAAGGTTAAATTCTCATGGTCTGACCTCATTCCGGACCATCAAATGCACCTATAGGTCCTGTGGCATTGTTTTTAAATTTCTGAAAAGACACTGATTGCTGAGAAGTTTGTGTTAGTGGTAAATTTATTCCAAGGTTATCTCAGTTATATGTACTATATATATATAGTCCTGCAATAGCTGTTAAAAAGCATAGTGCATCAGTCCATTTTATGATTTTGGAAATAACATGCATGATTGTGTTAATTTGTTTTGTTGTATTATGGCTTTTAAAGTTTGAAGGTTTTATTTACTAATGGAAGTTAAATGCCTAGCTCCTTACTTTGGTTCAAATATTGCATAGTTCATGTAAAGATTAAAGGAAAAAAACAAATGCTTGTGTGCCCGTGACATTTTAATTGTCACTGTAGTATTGTAATTGCGGTTTAAATGTAAATCCATCCTCTGTTCTTTGATGCCTGTCAGTCACTGTCAAAGTACTACTGCATTACAATGGGCAAATAAACATTTAAAGAACAAAGAAAAGTTCTGTTTTCTGGATCTAACATGCATTACATTTACCAGAAGATTGAGACATACTGTAGGTAAATAGTTGCAAGTTTATAAATGAAAAATAACTGGAAGGGGGAGTTTCTTCAGGTTCCTATGTACTGTAAGCTTTTTTTTGTATATTCAGTTACCTTTGCTATAATCAATGAAGAATACCTATTTTCATGTGATGCATTAAGCAGAATTGGCACATTTTAAAAAAAAAAGTAAAATTTGTCAGGACACAATAGAATGATTTTAAATTACAGAATTTTTACCCATGGATAGTGGATGTTAAGTTTGGTCTATTTCATAGTTTTGCTTGGTGCGTCTCTTTGAGTTCTGCTTAATTCAGTGTTTCACCTTTTGATCATTCCTGGGGATTGTAAAGAGATTTTTTTCATTTAAGTTTAACTTTTTAAAATAACATTTTGTAATTGCCTTGCTTTTGTGTCCGTTTGCCACACTCCCTGTTTTTGTATCTCCTCATTTAACTAGTTTGCCAAGTACATCAGAATCTAAATTGGTGATATAAAGCACAATAATATAACACTGATCTCTGCAGCACTCCACTGCTCACATCTGCTTAATTAGAAGTTCTAGTGCTTCATGCTTGTGATCCCTTTGCATGTACTTCCTTGATTTCCTATGACTTTCAGTTTGAAAATCAACCTTTGTTTAGATCATGTGTGCTTTATTTTATACATTACCCATGTTGCATGGCTGAAGGATTTTAACATTCAATTTCCTTTCACAATCTATATCACCCTGCCATATCAGCCACATCACCCTGCAACTGGCATCCCACTGAAGCTAAGCAGTTGTGAGCCTGGTCAGTCCCTGGATGGGAGACCTGGGAAAAACTAAGGTTGCTGCTGGAGGAGGTGTTAGTGGGGCCAGCAGGGGGTGCTCACCTTGCGGTCCATGTGAGTCCATGTGGTCCAACTGAGATCCTGACTCTCTGTGGTCATTAAAAATCCCAGGGCTTTTCTTGAAACGAGTAGGTGTGTAACCCTGGCGTCCCGGCCAAATTTTCCATTGGCCCTTACCAATCATGGCCTAATAATCCCCCTCTGAATTGGCTTCATTACTCTGATCTCCTCTTCACTGATAGCTGATGTGTGGTGAGTGTTCTGGTGCGCTATGGCTGCCATCGCATCATCCAGGTGGATGCTGCACATTGGTGGTGGTGGTGGTGTACGGGAGTCCCCATTATCCGTAAAGCGCTTTGAGTGGAGTGTCCAGAAAAGCGCTATATAAGTGTAAGTAATTATTATTAATCGGTGTTGGCATCGTTGACTGCCATTGTGTTCTAAGCATTCTCCCGATTTAGTGCTTTTATTTCCAAACATTACATGTAACGCATTGTTCTGTAGTTTTTTTTTTAAATTAGTGTTACGTCTGCAGCTTGTCTGGGTAGTCTGTCATGACTGAAGTAGTCATGTCATGTTTTGATATGAATATACCATCCCTAATTTCCTTAAGTGTGACTGGGGAAAAAGCCATCAGGCTCCAGCAATTGTTTTTTAGATTCCCTAGCTTATGTAGTATCTCACTGTCGAGAGTAAAATCGCCTACAGTTCAATCAGTTATACGATTATCAAAATTGCTCAACGGTCCTATACTGTCTATTCTTTTACTTTTATCTTGGTTATCTGAAAAGATTAGGTTAGATTAGGTCTTTCCTAGAGAATGTGTTTACAAACTGAGTGAACAAGAGATCAGTAACTATTTTAACTCTATTTCTGCTTATTCAGCATTAATGTCTTGTGCAGATAATGCACTTTGATAGTTGATAAGTAAAGTAACTAACTCTTTACTTTGGAACAGACTGTGCATAAAACTAATTTCCCATGTGTCCACACTGTTACCACAGGATGTTATTCAGTACGACTCCAATCGGTACGATGCACAAAGGGAAAGGAAATGGAGCTGATGTAATTCTGAGTGCGTAGTGTTTTCTTTCAGATGAGATTTCCCTAACTTCCTTTTGGCAAGGTCTCTTGTCCTGGGAAAGTCAGTTGTGTTTAAAAGGTTTCATTTTATCTTCACATTTCATTTCTGGCCTAGGGAATATGTAATTCCTGGGTTTTCTATGGTATTCCCCGATGACGGTGTCTGCTAAGATGTACTGTGATGTTTGCGATTCTCGCAAATCAGAAATAGCATTTTGAAAGGGTCCCCTTAACTGATTATGAAAGAGAGGAAAGGGATGTTTACCACTATTACTTGGGCTGTACTATCCAGAGTTTGACTAGTGGCTTCTTGACTCTTTCTTTCCTTTCAATGTTTTTTTCAATCAATTGACGGTTATTTTTGTTAGTGAACATTGTAGTAGAAGCAGAAACAAATCATAAAGAATAACCCAAAAAGGACATCAACAATATAAGACAGTATAAATAAACCTTTACTTAGTGAAGCTGCATCTTGTCTGATATTCTGAGAGAGTAAAGCACCAGTAAAATAGTGTGTGTATGTAAAAGTATATGTAACACATTGATGAAAATACAAGAAATCATTCACTGTATACCATGTTGTAATGGTAAAATGCGTACCCAGTTACATAACTAGATACATACACAGTTAAAGAGGGTTTAAGTGCTTAAACTATGATAAAACCCTACAGCCTAAACACTTTAATAGAATAACTAAATTTTAGGAACAAGTAATAGGTTTATTCCATGCTGAAAAAAAGAAAAGAAGAGAAGAAGAAAAATAAACATAACTAAATTTTATGTAAGCAGAATACTTGATAACACAGATACAATTTTCAAATTATACTGTATGTTACAGTGCAAACTTTGTTCCCAAATAGTTTAAAGTGAATTAAACATCTTAAAAAGCACCAAAGAAACAAGGTGCAACAAACCTTGTTTTTTGTAAAATTACAGGTAGGAAACTGAACATATAAAACTAATTTGGAAAAATCAGTTTGCAAGAAAGTTGACAAGCCATTCTACTAGACCAGTGGGAAATTATGTTTTGCAATGGTGATAACACTTATTTTTATTTTGTGATGCAGACTTGTTTTTCCCATTTGGTCTGGCTTGTGTTCCACCTTTCCAACTATTTTGTCTCCTTTTAGCCGATTCAAAGTCTTTTCCATTGACTAACACAACATAATTCTTACTGCAGAGCTTCATGCTGCTGTGACTTTTTCCAGCAGCAGAGGAATTCTGGATCTACCAGATGGCAACACATCCACTATCGGCCATTTCCTTGTACGTGTTTCGTTTAATAAAACAATTGTTTGTAATAACTCATAGCTGAACCTTGTGGATATAACCATTGTATCATGTTTCCTTTTATTTGGGTGCAACAAGAGCAGCAACATTCAAGATCTCATTACAAAGAGTATTTTTGTGGGTTGATAAAATACAGAATTCTCAGAGGTCTAATAGCTGTCTGCAGAAGGATATTTCATGAAGTATTTACTCTGAAACAAAGGAAATGTAAAAATTAAACAAGGTCAATAACAATGGCAGTTGCAAAAAGAAAATCCATGCCACATTGGGTGGATATGACAAGGCATTAAGAGAATGTCACTTACAGGTCACATTTTATTAGCAGAGTAAAAATCAAGTTTGTTTCAGAAAACCAGGTGATGAAGGAATGAAACAGAGCTTAAAAGCAATACAAATTGATGTAATGTAATGTTCACCAAGAAGAAATCAACATTTTTTTCAGGATATGGGACAAAGCTCGATATCAAATAATACTAGCAGATGCGTCAGATGTGCTGTTGGTAATAGAAGCTCTTAAGATGAATATATCTCCAGGGTCTTATGGTATTCTACCAATTATATTTAAGAAAACAAGAGATGCAGTTCTTAAGTCACTGAAGACCGTGGTAATTCAGTACCCATTAACTGAGAAATTGCTAATGATAGGCCCATTCATTAAAATGGTAACAAAAGTGAAAAATTCTGTTATGCACAACATTATGGAAATGATAATTAGTATTAAAATAAAGGATAATCAATGTGGAAGTAGGATCCTGGGCGATATACAACGCAGGTTAAGAAAAGGTTTTTGTGGTAGGATGGTCTATAGAGGGGAAGCAGTATCACAGACCTGCCACTAGAGGCCTCCAAAGGGCCTAAAAAATTATAAAATAGCTTTTCATGGTCTGTTATTATATTACCGGTTAGAGCCATGACAGCATTCTCAGATGGGGTTAATTAGTGATTTGTTAATGTAAGTATATGCAAATGTGGGTATTGGTTGGGTTGAAAGTATTGAGGTTAAAATGCCAGCTTAGTTTAGGGGTCTTTTGGGGTGTTTTTTTTTAAACTGCTCAATGGACAAATTCTGGCCAAAGATGGAAATTACGGTACAAAACCTGAGTGCTGCCCAAACATCCTGGGACACTTTGGAGAAGAAAAGAGAGTCATTAATGCGTTAGAACCCAACCCTGCAGCACAAGCAATGTGGCGGTGCATTGGGAGATCGGGTGCCCTATAAAACTGCCACGACCTTTGGATATTGTGTGAAAGGGGCAGGGGTCTTGCTCGTCACTGGTTTGAGGCAATTGAAAAGCATTCAGAATAGCGTGGAGTTGAAGTTGCTGTGGTGGGACTGGAGTGCCCCATGACTTCTTCAAGACAGCCTGCAGTAGTACCAGACGTCCCCAGCCCTGAGAAGAGAATAAGGCTTGCCTGAATTCGCCATTCAAGGGGGCAAGGGGTAAGGGGTAAGGGTTCCACTGCTCACGGACTCCAGTAAACAAATCTCAGACCACTTTCCTCTTCTTGCGAGGGGTACTTGCACCCTAAAACATTTTCCATCTCACAGACAAGGGCAGAATGCTCAAATTGGAGAGATGCAATTAGTGGAGTACAACAGGCGTCTGTATTAGGACCACAGCTCTTCCTAATTTATATACGTGATCTGTATTCTAATACAGTTAACAAACATGTGACATTTGCAAATGATACAAGAAACAAAAGGATTAACAATTGCCGTAGACCTTGAAACGGAAATTCAAACATTTAAGATTTAAAAATAATTCAAGACTCAAAAAACACCAAAAAACATAACATTTAAAATACAGAGTACTAGAAAAAAACATAAACTATAGCTTTATAGTTATTCATTATATATATTTCTTCAATACAAAATATTAAACCTGGGTAAATTACTTCTAAAAGACTTAATTGTTTACAGTATGTTGACTTTGAGATAATGTGGAGAAGCAAATAAAAAGGTAAATGGGAGATACTGGGAAAATCATAGAATTTAAATCAAGGCATGGTATGCAAAATTGTACATCACTATTATGACTTCCTTTAAAATATTGTGCTCACTTTTAAGGACCGTGTTATAAAAAGAGATTTTGTTGCTTTCTCCAGATAAAGAACAACCAGACACATTTCTGGGCTTAAAGAAATGTCCTTTTAGTCTTTAGACAGAGATGACTATGATGGGACAAATGTTCAAATCTACAAAGGCATTGACATACAGTAGTCAACCCATATGGCTTCTTGAGAATTAACAGTGAACTCCTGTATGAACCAGAGGACACAGGTGGAAACCACCTGAAAGTGAATTTAAAAAAGAACACAAGCTTTTACCCAGGAGAAAAATAAGAGTCGAGGATGTGTGAAACAAGCTACTGAGATGTTATTGAGGCTGATTCCCTCACGTCTTTCAAGAAAAGGCTGAAAAGTATATTTCAGAGAAGGATTTTGGTCTGCATTCGAGAAGTCTCTACCTTACAACACCAGAGTTAGAAAACCTGAATCAGCAAATTTCAGATTAGGAGTTGAACTATATGCATGAAAGAAACACGTAACATTAAGTTACGCTTTTGACTTTCTTGTCTGATTTATTGAGTGATTATGCTTTATATGTAAGCAATTTATTTAGTATAGGAGTTACTTAGTAATACAAAGTATTCAGTACACAAGCTGCATAATTCTGGACATCCTGAAGCTTCTTTAGTACCTTAGTAAATAACACATTATGTAAATAAAGTGTTACAGTAGTTTAAAGTAGTTCTATGATTAAAGGCATATATCAATATGTAGACAGAGCATGGTCTGTTCTTAACTAAGAAATACTCCACAATTGAAAACAAATACATTTATGATGCTCCCAATGTTATATATATAACTAACACCAATGTTTCTCATGGGTTTAATTTCAGCAGCATCAACAACTCTGAACTCACCAGCTGGGAAATAGGAGGCTATGAGCTTTATTTCAGTTATGCAGTTACGCCAATCACAGTTTAGCTTGAGAAGGTCGTCTTGAGCCCATGTCTTAAAATCAGACAGCCACCTAATATAACCATATTGGACCAAGCTAAATAATGAAGCACCTCTGAGACTTTTTTGTTCCATTGGTCTTTCTGATTTACAGTACATACTGTACCTTACTTAGATTTACCCAGCTAGCCAGTAGCTATATCACCTTGTAACTCACAACTGGCAACCCACAAAATCTAAGTAGGTATGAACCTGGATGAGAGACGTCCTGAAAAAACTAAGGTTGGTGCTGAAAGTGGTATTAAAAGTGGGGAAAGTGGGGCCAGTAGGGGGTGCTCACCCTGCAGTCTGTGTGGGTCCTAATGCCCCAGTATAGTGATGGGGACACTATACTGTAAAAAGGTGCTGTCCTTCGGATGAGACATAAAACTGAGGTCTTTACTCTCTGTGGTCATTAAAACTACCAGGGTGTTTCTCGAAAAGAGCCTTGTGTCCTGGCCAAAAGTTCCCATTGGGCTTTACCAATCATGGCCTCTGAATAATCCCCATCTCTGAATCCCCAGCTTCATCACTCTGTTTTCTTCCACACTGAGAGCTAATGTGTGGTGAGCGTACTGGTGCACTATGGCTGCCGTCGCATCATCCAGGTGGGTGCTGTACATTTATGGTGGTGGAGGGGAGTCCCCATTACCTGTAAAGTGCTTTGAGTGGAGTGTCCAGAAAAGCGCTATATAAGTGTAAGCAATTATTATCATTAATTACAGTAACCACTATTAGTCAATTTTGCAGATTACATGAAAGGATTGGAAGAAGCAAACATTGTAGATGTTATACAAAGACTTAGATACTATTCAGGACTTAGAAGATACCTGGAAAATGAAATGTACTTTAGATACAAGCATTATATACAGGTAGCAAGAACATTTTAAGTACAAAGTTCATTTTATTAGGTGTTTCTGAAGACTTGTGTGCTTATCTAAACAATTAGGAAAACAGTCAAAAGATCAACATGCGTTGAACATTGTACCATTCAAATTAAGTGGTGTTAAATATATGCAACAAAACAGTTTAAGAATGGTAACAATATTGCACGTCATTTTGATTACCATGCTATTCCAGTCAGACTGCTTTGGAATTAGATCAAAGAAGAGTGACAAACCTAATCCCATAGATAAAAGTACATACATAACCAGGTTAAAGGAATTGAATTTCTTTAGAGGCACTTTTACATAAAGTGTTTTGGCTGTCTCTGGATTAAGTTACTCATCAATATTGTTGAAGCAGATTACCTGAAACGTTCAAAAAATGTTGGTTGTAATCTTCTAATCAATAAGCTACAGGCAGCCTTATGACCTTATTTTTTTAAACTTCCCTATGCACTAATGACCTTGAGAGTATGATATAGCCAAATCAATATCATAAAGTACATTCTTGTACACATTTTTATCCAACTCATCTGGGACAGGTGCTGGGGAAGCTTCTGATCAATCCAGAAACCAAACTAAGGGCTGGTAAATCAATAAGATAAATTAACTCCATGACAGTTAACAGATAAACAATAAACAGCCACATAATTACATGCACGATTAAAAGAGAGCTGGAGAGTTTCTAGAGGCCTTATATGTAATAAAGGCATATCTCCTGTTATGCCACATTCTCTAAACTCCTTCAAATCCAGACTCAAAACCCTCTTCTTCAGAAAAGCCTTTACTTGACTGTTCCATTCTTCACCCCTCTGCTTTTCTTAGTACCACCATCCACAGTCTCCTCTATATATAGTAATTGTGTTTTATCTTGTGTATTCTTCTTATTTATTGTTCTTGTCATCCTGTAAATCACTTTGAGAAGCCACCTTTAAAGGCACTATATAAAATAAAGTTTATATTATTATTATTATTATTATATCAAGAAGAAAGTAACAATCTGTATTCAAGTTCATATATTTAATTCATTTTGGGACATAATAATTGGACCCTTACCTCACAGGAATTCCTGACCCATCCTCCTATTTTCAAACCACTTCCATCCAGTACAGGGTTGCGCGGGAGTCAGGTCCTATCCCAGCAAGCAACAGGCGTAAGATTTACGCCCCAGACGTGTTGCCAGTCCATCACAGAGAATTCCTTATGCTAAATTAAATTTTACAATAGACAGAGAATGGAGATTTGAAAATATTGCAGTGTTTTTAACAAGGTTTCTAGGACTACTTGAACTCAGAGAAAACAAAAAAAAACAACAGTAACCTTTGAGATATGCTTATCTGCCATTAAAACATACTTGTATATAGATAGTTCACCTTAGAATGAAAGAATGGGCCTCTAATTTACCTTACATTACCTTATATTTTGTAAGAATGATGTAAGTGCACTGTCTGGCCTCCACTTTTTTGCAAAAAAATTTTCAGATGTTTGTTTTTAAATATATGATTTAATTGGTTATTTTCAGAAACGAAAAGTCTACAGCCCTAGGATTTTTGTTTCCACATTTTTTAACAATGCAATACTTTAAAAAACACATCACCAAGTCTAAGACAAAAATAATGTTTTTAAAATAGACATACAGCTAAAGTTATGAAATATACCAAATATTGTAACCATGTTTATTAACGTTCTTTTATTTTCCATTTTAATGTATTATATTGGAAATACATTTTGTTAATTACATTCCGCATAAATGGCAAGAAATGTCGCCGTGATAATATGTGCTTATCAGCTCCTTTTGCACTTAGAGGAAATATAAATTCCTGAAATGGTACTTTACATACGGTTCACCGGATGCGAAAGGAATTTTTAAATTATTTTTACTTGTTTAAGTATAAAACTACATTTATCCCTGAGTCCTTCTTTATAATGAAATGTAAACTCTGGCGAAAAACTTGTCAGACATAAGCTGTTTTTGAGTCTTGAGCTACTCGTCCGGTTTGGCACAACTGTTTCTCCGAATTTACTTGAGACCGCTTTAGGGCGTTTTGTCTGTTGATATTCCCCAGCGCAGATTCTCAACGTAATAGCCCTTTCGAGAACAGAGGAGGAGGAATGTTACCTATCTAGCGAAGGAAAATGAATGATTACGTAGCAGAGTGAGTGATACAAAAGCAATTCTGCGATTAGAACAATTGTAACAGTAGGTTCGCCCTATATGGAAAAAAGGAAGTTTTCTGCACAGAAGGGGCTGTCCAGCTGAAATAATTGACGCTTTTTCTACCCAATAGCTGTACGCGACCTAGTGTGGCCCCTATGGCAAAATGGAGTGTTCTCTCAAGCGAGGCAGCCAATGTGACAGCTGGAGGGGCGCGGTTTGAGCACGGTACAGGTTATTCCTGTGTTTGGCCAGGGTTACACCTGGCTGAAGAGAACAGATTTCCTCAAAGTTATCAACATGTTGGGTTTGGGAAGCGGAGGTGTAAAATCTTCAAAGCCTTCGTTTGTTTCATATGTCACCCCGGAGGTATGCATTTATTCTTTAAAAATACGTGTATCTAGATTGTATTTGTAAATGTGATTGTAAGGGAGGCAAAATAAGACAACGTTCGTCTTATTGATATTTTATTATAGTTAAATTCTGCTTTTGCGCGGGGCTGCATTATAAAGTTACCATCTGCCAGTTGTTTTTTTAAGAAAAACTGAGACCTGCACTCAAAGTTACGATATCGAAATTCAAAATATAAAGCTCAGGGATACATCGCCCGTAATAACCCAAGAGTAGGTTACTTCCCTCATGTTTTGATGTTTGCACACAACATGGCTTTTGTCAAACTGCATGGCTATACGTACTGTAAACTACCTAATCTAATACTTTTTTATAAAAATGTGAATTAGTTTATCCTTGTGCTGTTCTCTCTTTATGACCGCAACTGTAGATCTTTTAGGTAAGGTTAAACTGAAATTATTGTATAATTGTAGACATTAAATGCCCCCATAACCTAAATATTAAAATGTTAATCAGGTTGTACTGTGTCATCATGAAGTTGGATAGTGTAAAGATGACTTGAGCGTCTGGCTGTGTAAACGTGATATTTGTATTTAATTTGGGATTGACTAGTCTCTCTCGTTGTGAGCCGGACGTACAGTAAAGTTGTACAGTGAAACCGTAATGTAAAAAGGAAACTTTTTTTTGCAACTGAATTTTTGTACTGTGTTTTTCTGTATGTTCTGCGTGCGTTGCGGAGCCTTAATTAGTGTATACTTATTCAAGGACAAGTATAGAGATTTTTCACGTTGTTTAACCTTAAGGGAAAATATTTCCACAGAATTCGAGCATTTCTATAGGAAGTTTCTCAAGGAAGTAGGTCGAGAGATTCTTCATGGAAATAAACCAGTTTCTTATTCATATCTTTTAAGGGTTCAGGAGAAGAGGACGCGAATTCTCATAAATGTGATTATCATGGCTTTGGTCGGATACTTTCCTGCGGTTTGTTAAAGTGTGGTAGATTCATTCTATTATGTTATGTAATTATGTTCATTTAGTAGTTAAGAGTGTTTAAGACTTGACCTACACAGTAATAGTAAATATAATTGATAGAGGAAAGAAATCGAGTGTATTTTACTTATGGTAAGTTGTTTGAAGCTCAAAAATGTTCTGGGCAGTAACCAAGAACCCTAACCACTACTCCACTCTGGCACCCTTTACTCAATTGAAGAGCATGCTCTGTAAAACGGGCTCTTAATGAGTGGTGAGATTGTATTTGTAGTCATGGGATTAAAAACCTCCATTTCCCGAAAGTTGAATGTTTGAGATCTGTAAATAATCCTGTTCAATCAGAACTTGAGATAGAAATATTATGGTTTAATTTTTTAAAATGTGACTTGTGAAGGTCCTGGGTGTCCTTTGCAGTTCTGCTAAATGACTGAAAATAATTAGCAGTGTATGTACCTGATCTTTGTCTTATGAACATGTAACCTGTGTTGGAGGGTATATGTTTCATTTCTTCTGTTCTCGAGAAATTCTCAATATAGTCGCAACGTTCAACAGAGGAGTTCCCCATCCACTCTGGTCCTCGTGTTGGCAGGGACATTGCAAGTTTTTAATCATTTTTTAGGCCTAATCAGTAACTCAGACTCTAAGGATGTGCTGCCAAAAACAAAAAGTCTGCCCAGTGAAAACGCAGGAAATGAATTCATTCTCGGTGCATTGTTTTCTTAAAAAGAGTTTATTTTTCCTTACTTGTGCATTCAGGGTATGACATCGACCCTGAGCATATTGAGAGGAATTTAGAAATGCTAGATAAAGGTTTTTGTTATCTGGGACAGAAAAGGGGAGATTGTCATGCCATACAGTATATGGGGACATAAAGGGTGCTTTGAACTTCATTGTGCTTCAAGTCTCTCCTTTTGAAAAAAATATAGAACTTTTTTTTTTACTTTTTTTTACACCCACTCGATAAAGAAAACCTGTTTGAGCACCAGGTAGTTTTTTTTTCCTCTGCGGATGGACGTGGTTTCACTTATAACCTCTATTCCCCTTCAGGGAATATTAACTACTGTAGCTCAGTTATTTAATAAAGAATCAATTTTCTTTATATTAAAAAGACAATTTAATATAAATTTAATTTAATATAAATTTAATTATATCAAATTTATTTATTGATCCTGCTATTTAATAATTAATAATAATTGCTTACACTTATATAGCGCTTTTCTGGACACTCCACTCAAAGTGGAAACTCCCCTCCACTACCACCAATGTGCAGCGTCCACCTGGATCATGAGACGGCAGCCATAGTGCGCCAGAACACTCACCACACATCAACTATCAGTGGGGAGGAGAGCAGAGTAATGAACCCAATTCATAGATGGGGATTATAAGAGGACATGATTGACGCCAGAGTTACACCCCTTCTCTTTTCGAGAAACACCCTGGGATTTTTAATGGCTACAGTATACAGTACAGTGTCCCCATCACTATGCTGGGGCATTAGGACCCAAATGGACCGCAGAGTGAGCACCCCCTGCTGGCCCCACTAACACCTCCTCCAGCAGCAACCTTAGTTTTTCCCAGGAGGTCTCTCATCCAGGTACTAACCAGGCTCACACCTGCTTAGCTTCAGTGGGTTACCAGTTGTAAGTTGCAGAGTGATATGGCTACTGGCTTAATGTGTATTGTGAGGGTTGTTCCTGGCTTAATCAGTCAAGGGAGGTACAATGTGAAATTAAATGTGTTATCAGCGTTTTTTAACTAATTGAGAATAGCAAATTGTTATTATTACCCCCCTCTGTCCTCTGGTTTGGAATAGCCAATCAGTTTTTTTTCATGTCTCAGCTTGCAGTTACTCATGACTGCAGGCAGGGGAGAATGAGGAAGTGCAGGCAGTCTGCTCTAACACACAGGTTACAGCCCCATACCAGAGGTTCAGTGTCAAAATTAAGGAAAGGCTTGATCAGCACCACAGGCCTGCAAACCTTCGTGAGGTCATATACTGACCCAGGCTCACATACTGTATTTGGACTGGTGAGTGCTTTTAGTGGGTTAGCCACACTGGAGGCCCAAGCACTGTAATTTCTACTAGACTATTTCATTTTGTGTTCTGTGTTGCCAAATTTGTTTTTTGTTTTTAAATTGACTGCAGTTATCTCCAGGATACCAGGATATAAGCTCTTGTATGGTTTTTGGACAGAAGACCAGCACAGCGGTGTTGGGAATGTTGCTGTGAATGTGTTCCATGAACTGTCATTTAAAATATATTAACCCTGTGGTTGAGCCATTTCAATTTTTAATTATCTTGAGTATTGAATTACTGAAATTTGGATTATTTTCTCCTTTACTTGGTGAAGTGGAACATCCAAAAATAAAGCAAAGCTTACTGTAGGGGTCATATATAAGTTTGGAAAACTGCCTCACTGATTTTAAGGGCTTAAAAAACATGTCTATGAAAGTCAAGAAAAAGTCCAGAAAAAGTCTGGATTTGTACTGGTATCATGGAGTATGAAAACAATCAATACATTCTATAAATGTGTTTTTTAAGGTTTATCTAAAAAATGTTCATGTTGACTGGTGCAAGTGGCAACCTGAAGCATCATCATAAAATAATCAATTGGTAAAGTATTAAGCTATTTGGAAGTCTCTAAAGCAGCAGGTAATGCTTGCTGTGTTCGATTTTGACAGTGGGGAAAATGTAGTCTCTGATGTTTGCTTGTGGGTGGTTCCACATATAGAGACTGGAATCTCCACAGACACCCGAAAGCTAAGGCGAAGTGCAAAAGTGGGTCAGAAAATAACTTGTTCTGTCTTGAACAAAGCAGAGGCTTTTCTTTGTAGCCTTATGGAGGCAGAGATGCAATGACACTGAACTCCCAAGTTCCGATTGGTACTAAATGGTCTTGATTTTAACTCGTAACCTTTTTATTATAACCATTGCCTGTCACAGTGTTGCTGTGGCTGTTGTCTGCCTTCTGAGTTCTGAAGTGTAAGTTGTCATCTTATTTGGTTTATGTGTGAGGGACAGATAAAAAAGATTTAATTCTTGGTATGGTAGTGCTGAATTTGTTCAGTTCTTCCCTCCATTTGCTACAGTGCAGCACAAGATGGGAAGCTTTCAGTTAGGAGAATGCACAGAGGAATGGTTAGTAAGTCACTCTCTTAGCTTAAATAAACAAGGGGCAACAAAAGCACTGAAAGTAATAATTTCCTCTCAGTATTTGTTATTTAATGCTTGGTAATTTATTTGCTGCAAGTAACATTAAATCCTTGTAATAAGCTGGGAGTTCATTACACTATTAATACATTATTTGCAAGGTTCAAGTTTCTTTAGGAATATATGTTAAGTTTCTTTATGTAGCAGCTAATTTCGTACTAATATTAAGTTTCATTCAAGTGTGTCAACTTTGTTTTAGTTGGAAATAAGATGTGTAAAAATATTTTATTTTGTCTGTAATAATTTTTTAGTTTAGGTAAACAGGGGGCAATTAAAGCACTGAAACTTTTATCTTTTCTCTCGATATTCTTTATTTACAGTTATGTGCTTGTATTGCTAGGACCCATAATATTTGCAAAGACAGCCAAACTCTAACTTACTGGCAAGTATTGGCCAGCAAAAGTAATGTGTTTTTAAATAGTGTAATAGGAAAGAAGTGCACTTACTTTATCTTTGTTCTCTAGGAGGACAGCCCCGTGCTCAGATTAGCACTCAATACAGTAGAAAGAATTGCTGATGTACAGTATAACAAGCTTTAACAACTTGCTTATGTGGTGTATTCTAGTATTGTGCTTTTCTGTAAGCCTTTCCCAACTTCTCTTCTACTAATATGCCTTTCATTAAAGACGTGAATCCTAGAAGATACACTAAATGGAGAAATCTGTAAATAAACGTGTCTGAGCTTCAAGAAAAAGTTTAATTTAACAATCTGAATTGCTTACAGAAATATAGAAATTAGAAATATGCTGAGTGCACACTAGAAGATCTGTCTGGTAGAAAAAATAATTAAAATGATTAAGCCTCTTTGATTTCTAGG